AACCCAATTGAACCTCCATAGGAGGTTCACTCTCCCTCCCGTACATGATAAAAAAGGCGAAAATCCAGTGGAAGTGTGGGGAACCATCCTGTATGCGGCCATCACCCCTGGAATATGCAGGTCCCAATCAGTTTGGGCCGAGCTGACTACCTGACTGAGCATAGATATCAGGGTCCTATGCAGTCGTTCTACCATCCCATCCGTCTGGGGATGGTACGGGGATGTTCGAATCTCCTTAGTACCCAGCGCATCACAAACTTCCAGTACCAGCTTAGAGGAGAAATTCTGCCCCTGATCCATAATAAGCTGCTCGGGGGCACCTTTATCCAATACGAATCCATGCATAAACGCTTCTGCAATAAAGGTTGCTGACTGGTCGGGCAGTGGCCAGGCCATGGGCCATCGTGAAAAATACTCACACCTACCAAGATAAACTTGTTCCGCCTCTGCGTGACAGGAAAGGGCCCGAGGATGTTGAGTGCGACCAACTCATTGATGCGCGAAACCGAGATAGACTTGAGCGGAGGCTGGGACTTCCTCAGCGGCGGTTTCCTACGTGCACATTCTGTGCAAGCTTGAATGAAGTGGTGCACGTCCCTCGACATCCCCGGCCAATAATAATCGCGTTGTAACGTTAGCAGCGTTTTTCGCACACCGAAATGTAACAGCTTATCCTCGTGCACTACCTGGGTCAGCTTGCCTCAGAGGGCAGCAGGGACCACAATGCGGTGGCGGTGCGATCCATCCTTGTCTAACATCAAAAGACCATCCCTTAGGACCGGACACGGCCTGTCCGAGTGAGCAGACACTTTATGTCTCGCCTCCGCTTGACACCGCAAGGTCATAAGGGACACGTCTTCCATTTGCAATCTTCCCCACTCGGCACGCGTAAGGTGAAAAACACTATCCTCCGGCGTGATCTCCTCGGGGGTTCTACTTCTTCTAGCGCTGCCATGATGGCCGTGGGCCCTGCCGCCGGAGGTTTACAATCACCCGCGCCCAGCACATACGCACAACCAGAGTCTTGGGGAAAGCGGGATAATGCGTCGGCATTACAATGTCGTATCCATTTACGATACATCACTCGGAACGAATAGTCCTTGTGAATCTCTAGCCAGCCGATCCCTGATCGGTAACAAGTCAAAAAGCACGTCCGATATAATGGTAGTGGACGCACCTGTATCAACCAATACACGCACCTCAATCACTTGGATAGAGTAAGACACCACCGAGGCCCCCGCAGCGGCCACGATTACCCGACGCGCTAACTTCCTCTATTGTGTCCCCGAGCTAGGCCACCCCTGTGTAACTAAACCCTGCCACCCGGCGGCAACATGAGTGCGATGCGGGGTGGAGATGACTTTCGAAAGCCTAGATGGCTGAGTTTGGAACATGGGCTGGGTGTCTGATGTATCGTGACTCGCCTGTTGGGGAGCAGTCGTTGATGGAGCCGGGGGCACCGGAGATGTCGTCGGGGCTCGATGCAGGCCCTGGCATCCGCGCGCGTAGTGCTCTGGCTAGCTGTAGTGGGAAGCAGGTAAGTGAAGCCCTCCGTAGCAGGCGATCCTCCTCCTAGCGCGGCCTCCAGTCCCTTGGCCGCCGTGGAACCTCTCTCCATCTGCGACTCCACGTTGGGACCGCTTTTGCGACGTCACCATCCGCCGGCCGGTCCACGGCCGGCTGAACTGCGACGTTCCGTGGCGACCACCCAACCGGCTCGCCATCGTGGCTGGGTTCTGTCATCCACGCCATCATCTGGGCTAACCGATGCAAGTTCTCGTGGGCCTGCAGACACCCATCTGGGTGTCTGTTTGTCTTCCTCAATAACTGGCAAGACGACCCCATTTGACGTGCCAGTCCCAACATCCTCTCCATTACCAGGGAGTCGAGAGCCTTCGGGTCCACCGCGGGATACGCCACCTCTCCCAGCGTCAACGGCGCAATGCGTTAGGCAAGGGGCGACTCGGCCTCCCCTCGCCTCCGCTGCTGTTGGAAGGTGGCTTGTATACTTCGGCCATCTCAGCATGTGCCCCGTGGAGTGTCGTCTTCTTCCCGGCGGGTATGGCCCGGAAAACAGCGAGGGCGTCGTCGTCTAACATTGTCAGCAGAGCTCTCAGTGCCTCCTCCTCGGTCCAGTTCACCGACCAGTAAGCCGTCTCGAAGCGCCAGGTGAAGGCGCTCCAGTCACCCCTGCCACGATGAATTCTTTGACAGGAGGCAGTCGGCGGGTTCGTTCCATCCCTCTTCCAGCGTCGACAGCAGCAGGCGTCACTTCACGCCCATGTCCTAAAATGGCGGCCCCCGACCGTGCTTTTCCCGCGCTGCACGTAATGGCGGCATCTGGCCGTGTGGTCTCTGCGCCGCGTGTAATGGCAGCCACTCCGCCCGCGGACATTCTCGCCAGTGCGTCGTCTTCCGGCAGTCGGTCTTCTCTCCCCGGCGAGGTCCGTGCAGTCAGCCCCGCCATTGTGGTCGCCGTCATGAGCCCCACCAACTGCAAGACCGTCGCCCTCAGGAGCTCCAGCTGCTCCGACACCACGCGCCATCCATCTTCGGGCTGCTGCTGCGGAGAAGCTGTCGCCGGTCCGTCTCTAGCAGCTGCCAAACTCTCCCGCCGCGGCTTTCGGTAACCAGGACCGTGGTTCCCAGGACTGTTAGGAGGTCCTTGCGTCTCATTCTCGTCATTGTCGGAAGACGCCCAGGCGGGTTCCGCTTCTTTTGGTACTTCGACATATTTTATTTTTATTTTTTTCTCCTCTCCAATGAGAAAAATAATAATAATTTCCACTGCTTCCCATGTAGTGAGCGACTTCAGAGACACGTCGAGTAGAAGGCTTCTTATTTATTAAGAGCACACTGGGCGATACATTATGTAACGCAGCAACACATAGGCGATCCTAACACTCACAGCCCCATCACCGGCATACAGCTACGCAGTTGTCCGACTAGCGTAGCGACAGCGGCGGAGAGGGTCTTGCAGCAGATCAGCCACGTGGTCGGGGAACGAAGAAATGACAACGGGCAGCGATGCAGCCAGACTCCAAACAGCCCCGAACCTCTGGTTCGTTCCTCCTTATATTTGCCCCGGGGCGGCCAAGCTCCACCTCTTGCCGCGCCCTTTTCCAGAACCCAAGAGCCGGTTCCCGGAGCTTCTCGACTGACTCCACCTTTCACCTTTACCCCCTTATAATAAGGCATTACGTAATGCACCCATAACCACAATTACTCATCCAGGCCGACAGGTGTCACCCTGTCATTACACATGTACAGGAATGAGATGGCAGCATGGATCATGAGGGAGGGCAATAGCATGGGAAGGCCTTCACCCAGCAGTGGATAAATAATAGATGATGATGAGAATTGTAAACTACTAAAAGTAAAACATTTTTTTTCTTCTTAAATTTGAATAAAAAACTCAAACTCCCCGATGAGGAATATCTCACAGCTTAGGACTGTCACTTGGGAACTCCAATATTAACATATCAAACTTATCCTGGTTCGAATATTAGAATGTTTTATAAAGTACATTTTATAAAAAATGATATTATCATAAATACAGTTTAATTGGTTATGTGGTTACTTGAATAAATGTGCACAATTGGGTTTCAAATGTGTTATTTATTTGAAACGCTTGTTATCCACCTTGATGCAGGGGCTGCTATTAGGAGAATCCCATTACCAATATTTAACCGCAAAAATAACTCGGCCTATCTGCATGGCCACTCGCAGATAAATACAGATAATAGGACTAATTCAATGCAAGCACCATCCACTTCTGGATGCACCTCTTATCCACATATAAATGCAGATAATAGTATGAATCTTCCAGGCAACTCCACTTATCTGTGAAACCACAGATAATAGGACTTGTTGTGGACCGTTTGGGTAAGTGCTTGCCAATGCACCAAGCACTGTGATCCATTTTGGTGGCTCTAAACGGGCACCGCGACCCACCAGAAAGCTACGAGCAACGCTTTACCATATTAATTAGTTATTTACTCTAGACATACCAAGTATGGCGCCATCTATTGATATACTTTATATTTTTATTCTACACATTATAATTATTAGTCATCCCTAACATTATTAGTCAAATTAACACATAAGCTTTCGCGACTAATATCGTCCATAATAGAGGTATTTTTCTAGGTTAAATCGCGTAAATATATAAATGTGTCGTTAAAACCCGCCACCACCCGACACAGCCAACTAGTAAGGGTTGTCACGTAAAAAGAACATGCCAATTCGTCACTAGTACAGCACACCGGTGTGTTGAAGAGCCAAGCCACAACATTTACAATCTGAGTACGACGATTCGCCAGTAATTACAAATAGCATCATGAAGCTTCATCATGATCACATCCGATTCAATGTGCGACTGGTCCAATCACCAGACACGATCTCAAACCAACCTATGAACCAGTATAAGTTAAGCTATGCAATCCTTTCATTTCATTATTTGTTTAATGGTTGTGACTGTGTACGGATATATTTTAAATACCACTTATTAAAAGCAACTTGCATTTGGTAATTATTTTAAAGGCAATCATACATTTTTGTATTTGTAAGTAGGGAAGAAAAACGCGAATCAATGCATTTTTAAAAGTTTTTTTTATGTAATTCTCACGTGAATTTCAGTAAACACAAGGAGATCATTAGGCGTTATGTACATACCTCATACAATTCTAAATGGATAACACAAAGGAATTGATATCATGTATGTATCCATTTTCCATGAGAAACGAATTACGTGACATAATTGTGTGGCGGACACATACCAAAATGTGTACGCAATGCGTGGATTGGTTTCAGAAATGTTCATTTGACTGTCATTTGAACAGTGTTGAGCTATTTGTGGGAAATAATATGGAAATAAATGTTGAACACCTGTGTGCTTCTGAGATCATCACAGGACAATTATTTGACAATAACAGGCATCCCATGAGTATATGACCATCTGCAGCTGTGATCATGTTTTTGATGCATGTGTCTGCGTCCAGAGGGGCTCCAGCTGTGGATCACTACTCACCACACAGGGAAGGAACCAAATGTTTGCGAAGACGGGGTACTACAGGGTATGTTTTCCACCAGCATACTGACTTACAGTTATTTGTCTAACTTGTACGATTGACATTATGGTCCATGGGCTTACAAGCTTAGACTGCATAGGGATGTCCCAGACTAAAATAGAAAAAAAAACAAATAAAATGTGGTTATTTAGTGGTTTTCCTATGTAACATAAATGATCACCCTTACAACAAGTACAACCGAAAATGATCAACGAATTTAATGGGATCAATTGTTTTTATTATTATTTTTGGAATGAGTTCATATCTACACAAACTGCTTATAGGTCTACATTAACTTTTAATTTGAAAAATGTATACTATATTCCTGATGTATTCAAAACTTCAGTATTTCAGCAAAACACGCAGTATTTTCCAAAATTCCTCATTTATCCAGACTTAACAAGCTTCAGAGAGTTACATAATTGCCATTCTCGTATCAGTTGCCACACACATGGTGATAGATTATTGCTTTCGATCATACTATGGCTTGAGGGAAATGAATAGTTTCATTTTGTAAAAGTAGCAGTTTCATCAAATATTTATTAATACACGCGGCTTACAATGCGCTCTTATCTACAAAAATGCAATATGGCATTAAAGTGCAATACTGATATCGTTTGACAGGGAAATCTGGTTGCCATAAAGCCAATCAACAAAAAGAAGATTGAGCTGACCAGAGAGGTGTTGTTTGAGCTTAAACATGTAAGTATAAACGTGTCTTGTGTTGAATGCATCATACATCTCGGATTATAGATAATCATGCACATATAAATGTAAACTATGAAGCTTTGTGACTTAATACAATTGGCTTGTGAATGTGCTTTTTAATTTGTGTTGTAATTGTATGTGTTGGCATGCTTTTGTGAATCTGTTGTCACATTGCTGCAACATACGTGAGATCAGACAAAATATAGAATTTTTGGAGACTGACAAAGCAAGTATGGCACTGCTCATTCTTTGCCTGGCTTGTGCTATGTATTGACAGATGAGAGATGTTCTGAATGAGCATTTGACAAGGTTTGTGGGAGCATGCATCGATCCCCCAAACATCTGTATTGTCACTGAATATTGTCCACGGGGCAGCCTACAGGTAAGTCCAAGCTGAAATGCACAGCTGCGTATGTGTTACGTATTCTCTATTGCCCTTTACCTCCTCTCACCCCTCCACTCCTTCCCGTCCCTCCCCTACCATTTCGTGATCCCGAAGTACCCTCTATCGCAGTCACTCATTCCTCACTCCTTTCACGCCCCTCCCATCTGAATCATTATATTCTGTCACCGTCTTTTAATCTGTCAGGCGCCTTGAGTGAAGGAACACTGTACAATTAAAATTACATTCGATTCTAGGAGTGGACTAGTGCGCATTCAATTAATGGCGATGTAGTAAAATAAAAATCCAATTACCAAAACTGTAAGCAATACCAGATGCGTGAAGCTGAAATTGTGGCACCTCTCACGAGCACATGTAAAACATGGCATGCTCTGCCTGTGTACAAGTGTATGCACTGCCGTTAGTGTGGGGAATGCTGCCATGTAGCTATGGTCAGCACACGAGTGGAGGCTGTTCCACCAGCACTGGCATGAGCAAGCAACTGCGAGGCTGCACCATTACCTTGTACACTTTTCGAATATACCCGTTAGCAGTCTCTAAAATGGTATAGCTATTGACTGTTTCTGTAATGTTCTGTCATTGCCAAGCAGCTTTTTTAAAGTTCACTGTTTAATGACAGATGTTGTCTCAAGAATATCATACATTATTATATACTATATTTGCAAATACATTTCATGCTGTGAGAAATTAAGTACATACACCAAGCATGCGCTACATCAATCCCATTTAGGTCTCTCAGTGTGGAATACAATATTTATCTCAAGACACTGTACAGAATGAGTGGTGGTGACCAGGAGGTACACATTACTGATGGTTCTATAGGAGGATTCCAAAGAAGCAGTTGTTATATTTAAACATGGAGAGATAATTCATAGCACAGACAGTGAAGGGGAAAGACAGTTCGAATTGTTGGTGGAGAGGACCAGAGACGTAGAGCTTCCAGCTTGAGACCTAAGCTGGGATAGTCATGAATCCGAGTTTAAACTAAACAATTGTTTTGCGAGGTAAGGCTCACTGAGCTATATAGCTCTTTTTCAGAAGCGACTTGGCCACAAATGATCGCTCAACGAAGTAGCTGATTAGGTGGACATTTACAGTAGCCAAATACTCTAAACGCATGTCTCTCAATGTGGAAGGAAATAAACCTGAGAACCCGGAGAAAAATCAATGGGATCAAACCCACGACCTCCTATATACCAGGCGAGGTAGTTAACATCTCGCCTGTACCCATGAATTTATAAATGTGTAGTGCATCCAACTGAGTCGCAGACGTTGTTCCTTTTAGAGGCAACACTTTTATATGTAACACCGTAACACAAAGGGGTAACTGCCCCTTTACCAGATGCAGCCTAGGGTGGTGACCATCCAGCTTACTACACTATACAGAGGAGTTACAGCTACGAAGGGTCGGACCCTCACTCGGGTCTCCGACCACGTGGTTGCCTCGTAGGACGTAGAGCTTCCAGCTTGAGATGTAGAGCTTCCAGCTTGGAGAATGCAGCGACCCCGGTCCTTTTCCGGGACCCGCCTTATATCCCCCCACGGGTCGGGGGCCGCTCCGTCCTTGGCCCCGCCCCCTTCTTGAGCCTTCTAGCTCCCTCTCGAGAGCTCTCCCCGGACACGTGATCCCCCCTAGTCCCCCCCACCTGGGGGCCTCTCTGTGGACACTCCAGATCACGTGTCTGCAGGGTCAACCAGAGTGCCATGGCCCGGGGCCACCCTGCCCCTGGGCTGACACTCTCCCACTCCCCCTTGTGGGGGCCCGCACCACACGCTATGTGTGGTGCTCACGCGATCCCAGCGCACACCAAGCCCCGCTAGGGCTGGTACTACACCCGCCCACGGGGTGTATGTGATGACAGGGCATCGCGTGCCATGGCCCTCTCAGGTCGGCACTATACAGTGATATCCCTGATGTCACTACAAATGTACCTGGGTTTTGATAAGCAGACCCAAGCCACGGCCTGGGAGAACTCTTCCATTAAGTGTTCATTCAAACTCTGAATGCACGTTTGTTTAATGAAAATGATTACCACTTTTACACATATTTCAAAGTAATACCTTTACCTACTAAATATAACTTACAGCCTAAGCTACCATCACGTGAAACCCTTTAAGGCCAACGTTGATAGCATGTCCTTGTCCAGGTAGACAGTAACCAGGATCAACCAGATTCAGTGCATGTTTGAATCTTGTCTTTTTTGTCTTATTATATGTGTAGATAGTGTTTATACCGTATATACATTTTTAATGACCATCACCGCCATCAATCGATCTTGCTTAAATACTTACCCAGTGTAGGTGCATCCGCCTAGGGTTGGACACAAAGTCACAGGTGGATGATGTGGGAAGGGGCAGGGGTGTGGAGGGGCAAGTAGTGGGGACGGCATGGGATGGGAGGGTATGAGTCCAATAAATTAATGAGGACAGATCTCAGCCTGGTTTGGCACCTGTGTTAAATGGTCTTGGAAATGTGGGATTATTGTGCGTATGTTCCGGGAAAGTTGAACGGTCATACTATCTTTTAATTATACCCTATTATTCAGGGTGCCATGGTCGCGAGGTGTTAAATCCCTTGCCAGGTATACTGGAGGTCGTGGATTCCATTCCAACCCTGACGCCTGTATATTTGGAGTTTGCATACTCTCCCTGTGGTCGCGTGGATTTTTCTCCAGGTCTTTCGGTTCCCCCCCCCCCCCCCCCAAATTTAGAAACATGCATTTAGTGTATTTGGCTGCTATAAATTTGAACATGATAAGCCACTTTGTTGAGCTATCATCTTTGGCCAGGTCACTTCTGAACAAGAGCTATACAGCTCAGTGGGCCTTACCTGGTAAAATCATTTTGTCCGTGTTTATAACAAACTACGCATACTTGATTGAGAAATCAATATAAATGCAAATTCGATGTTTATGGTATTCGTTTCTTTCTTTATTAATTTAAACATTTCTAAACGGACAAGAAGGACAAATGTGAGGTTTAATTAATGACTGTTCAATTAATTGTATTACTGGAGATAATAACCTCTGCAGTCCCTAGCCTAATTAAAGCATTGGAAGGAAGTCTGTGTAGCTTTTAATATCAACAGTCACAAATTACAACACATTAGCGGTGTTGATTTGAAGTGCCTTCGTTTACTATGTATCTAATAGTGAATACGTGAAATTTTTAGGTATTCGAAACCATTTTCTCCTCATTTTAAGAGGCGTTCTTAATAAAATGTTGATATCATATGCCTCAGAATATTTCCCAATGAAGCAGTGTGTGGCTCACATCTAATTTTTCTATTGTTTTGTAGCAGGTTAGGTTATTTAAGTATGTATTTAATCATTACATGTGTGTGTAATGAAAGGTGTGACATGCCCGGATATTTCTTTTAACAGGACATTTTAGAAAACGAAAGCATTACGCTGGATTGGGTGTTCCGATATTCCTTAATCAATGACATAGTGAAGGTAAGATCAATACTGCGTTCCATGCTTCATAGCATGAACCTTAATACAAACCTTAACTGGTATTGTTATCTTTTATTTGCTTAACGTGTTATTTGTTTGTATTCAGATTTACTTACGTGGTCCCAAACTATTTTCTTCCCAATTGAGGTGTTTCGCTAAATGTAATGCATCTTCATTTTTTAAAATGAACATTGGTTTGTATATTATGTGCATTCTCTCTCTCCAAGTTGATTCAACCCACAAATGAGGTCTGCAATTTTCAGAATCTAAGGGGATAAAGGCAGTGAAGCATGGTGATAGCTTTGCACTTCTTCTATTTCCCTTGTGACCAAACCAAATTGAATCAAGCACTTCCTGGCAATGCTTGCCCAATCAACCCAGCAATTGCTTTAAAAAAAACATGCTATGCCAACGGACACACTTGAAAAGAGGACGCAAATAGTGGGGTGATTTAAATAGCAAATAAGAGAAGACATTTAGCCTCCTCACAAGCCTCCAGCACAGGTACACCAATGCAATCAGATTTTTTTTTAATGCGCTATTCCTCCACTGTCACGACAGGGAATGCTGTTCCTGCACAACAGTGTTATTGGATCACACGGAAGCCTCAAATCCTCCAACTGTGTGGTGGACAGCCGATTTGTCCTCAAGATCACGGATTACGGGCTGGCCAGCTTCCGTTCATGCAGTGAATGCGAGGATATGCACTCCCTTTATGCAAGTATGTTCTTCCATGTCCCAATCGTGCCTGCTTTTTCTTCAGCACAAGGAAAATACTCGAGAAATAAAAACAAATAATGTCCAATGGTGGACTTTTGCGGCTTCAAATTTGCCTACCTTATTAGGCCATAAAGTTATTCTATTACCAACGCCATGATGATTGGATTTTTATTATTTTATGATTTGCTTACACTTTTATTTCATTTTCCGTATTTTCCATTTTATAAATGAAAATGCCGCTGTCCAAAATGTCAGACCATTTAGCTTTTTTACTTTGAAGCGCTTGATAAGTCACGTAAACATTGCTCCCAATGTAGAAATCATATCCAGTACAAGTAACGTGCTGATTTGCATGTGTTTTGCAGTAACGCAATGCAAATCGTAATAATGCACAACCATGTGCTCACGCATATCAATAATCTGTGACATCACTTCAAGGCTGTTTTTAGCGCAAAAATTTGTTATAAAACCTTGATGGCTTTAAAAAAAATTAGTGACATGCATAGCAGCGGTTGCTGCCATGGTTGCTAATTTTTAAAATATATTTTTGAGATATTTTCTTGTTTCTGCGCTAAAAACAGCGCTGTCACGTGCTGTACTGTACTGGGCGATCACGGAGCAGCACCATGAGCAAACTGAAACCGTGATCGTGGAAACTGATGGGTCAGGTGAGTCGATTTTAACATTTGTTTATTTTCATTATTTTTTTTTACGCCCACGTTTATTTTTATTCATTACATTTACGTTCTTACGTGGTTTATCAAGCTGCGACCAGACAAAAAAATAGAATAAAACAATGGGCTTCCATCATTGGGCTGCAATTGTACATATCTGTGTTGCTGCTGTCACAATCGCGACTGCCGTATCTCTTGGTGTAATGAGCGGAGCGCCTTTCACGTGACGCCATTTGACATCGCCTTGATCTTCTGGCATTTTTATTACGGAGCTTGTGCAAGATACGGTATCCCAGTGGTGTAGAGTGGAAATCTTTCGGTGTGTGTGTGTGTCAGTGTGCTGTACATGTGCACAGGTGCATGTGCTATATTACCAACTCTGTGTAAGAGACACTTTTTTTTAATTGTTGTTCTTTTGCTTTGGCACCAAAAAGTGGTTGCATGTAATTGAGTCACCCGGTATGAATTGGTGCTCACTTGCCACCACCATGACCCACCTACATATTTTGGAGAAATAAAGCACTGTCAAGTGAAGTGCATGAATTCCACGACCAGCCCTTTCAGCAGAGTCGAGTCAACCAGGATGGCTCTGCCAAATGGCGTTGTGTGCAAAGGCGTCCAGTCACCCACAGCTGTTCATTTACTCCAAGGAATGCGGCTTCATTATACGTGTGCCTGTGGCCTGCCACACTCTTGCTTAGGCTGTCAAGTTGCATAACGATAACATAGATGCATATTTTACATGTGTATATAATGCGTACATTTACACTCCAACAAGAGCATTTTTGGTCATTTCTATATGTTATGTAAGAGGAAATACAAGCCAATTTAAACGTTGTGTGTACCATGCATGCATCCGTGCTTGTTGCATTGTTTGACGCCATGAGAACCATGTTGGGGAAAAACACACTTTACTCTATCTACTGATTTTGCTTGAGAATTCAAGTATAATACTAAAATACGAACAGTCACATAATTGCTCACACTTTTCTGAAAAAAATGGCTAATAATAGCCCAGAAAATACAAAATAAAAATTCTCTTTTAGGAAATGCAAATTTCCTTTTAAAACGGGGGATTTACTTGCTTACAAACATCTCAAGGAGGATTGCTTGGCAATCTTAACCCATATTTAAAATTAAATTCATTAGCTGAATGGGAGTACCTCTGCTTAAAAAGGTTGGTCAATTATTTCCAGATATGGTCAACAGTCTCTGTGGTCTCACTGTTCAGTCAGCTTTTGGATCAACTATTTTTCACAAAGAAAGATCAGAATCACCAAGTTTTTTACAATAGGGTTTTATTTTACCTTGTTATTAAAAAGATAATATGCGTATCATATTAACGGATTGAGACACATTCACAATGCAATTGCATTACAATATGCAACATTTGCATAGATGTCATAAGCAGCATCTTGAAGTAAGACAAAAACACTATTTTCGTACAAAATCAACGTAATTTTGTTTTTGATAATTTCAGGTACTGAAAACGTTTTGCAACCAATCGAAAAATGAAGCAAAATAAGGAAATAATTATTTTAACCTTTGTGTGTGACTATACTGGCCTTATCTTTTGTCGTGTGTTCCACAGAGAAGCTTTGGACAGCACCAGAGCTTCTGCGTTTAGAGCACCCACCTCCACAAGGCACCCAGAAAGGTGATGTCTATAGCCTTGGCATAATCCTGCAGGAGATTGCCTTAAGAAATGGAACCTTCTATGTGGAGGGGATGGACCTCAGCCCTAAAGGTGAGCCGCTGTCATGAGCATGGAGATGGTGCCATGCATATAGACCTGCGTTATTATTGCTATGAAACGTTGGTTCCTGACCTGGGATCCTTGGACCACAGTTAGGAGGCTCATGAATAGAAAAAATGTTTGCAGGCATCCACACAATGCCAATAGATCCACAGTGGATTGTACACCTGCGTGCTTCACTCCACCAACCACACTTTTGCCTGGCTTCAATGAATGATAGTGAACACATTTTGATAAATCTTCGTTTATATTTCAATATAAATGTGCTCGGGTTGGAGTGGTGGCAGAGTGAGCTCTGAACCCTGAGTGCACCATCTGGCCATAGCTAAAATCAGTGGTGAGTGATATCGGACAATGACTAAATAAAATCCACAGACTAAGATTTTACTAAATTTAAATATGTTGTCATCGACTGGACTAGGACCATGACTAAAATAAAGAATGCCGACTAAGTTAACGCTGCCAGGTGGTGGTTTTATGGAGGAGTTTGGCTCGTGACAATGATGTTTGTTTGAATGGGGCTATAACTGGAATTTATTCTGCTGCTATTTCCAGAGATTGTACAGAAAGTGAAGAATGGCCAACGTCCATACTTCCGGCCATCCACGGATGAATCTTGTCACATTGAGGAGCTTGGGCTTCTCATGCAACGCTGCTGGGCCGAAGACCCAGCGGAGCGACCGGATTTCAGTCAGATCAAGATGCTCATTCATAAATTCAACAAGTGAGTGCAGGCAATTGGGCAACGTGGAGACGAGCACACTCACGACTGAGCCACGTTATATGCCTAGTCAATGATTCAATTTCCGCAGCAATTGGGTAACTCCTTTAGGGAATTATCAAAGCACACCATTTACTGTGAAGTGGTTATTAAAGGCCCTGTGACATCATTTACAAAAGTAGGTCATCCCAAAAGTGAACATTACCGTAAACAGCAGAAAGAAGTCTAAATGTCACCACATGATTACAATTACCTAAGTACCCATTGCAAAAGCAAGAAAGGTCAATGGCCTCACACCTGGTTAAAGGCCATAGATTACTAATTCATTGAAATGGATTAGAATCAAGAGGCAATCACAAGCACAAGTGAGAAAAAAATTCGCATGCTTATTCACCACGGCAAGTGAGTGAGGCTCAACATTATCATTCTCAAATAAAAGTAAACAGCTCAAGATGACCAATTATGGGCATGAGTCAACACATTATTCTTTTGGAATCGATGTGCCAAGTACAACTGACGAGTAATAATCATGAGAATAATAATGAGGTTTTGTCAACATGATACCAAAATGGCATTCATGGAACTAGTTGGCAGAAATGGTTAATAATATAAATACTGAATATAAAAACTGTTTTACAAAGCACATGACGAATATATTAAACTAAATGGTTTAGGATTTGGTAATTTATTTTCTCGATAACAATGATCTGCATATCTGGGGTTAATGTGAGCTTCAGGGACAGATAATCAGAAGTGTTTTGTTTCATGGGATTGCCTGAATTGTAAATATGGTCAGTCCATTGTTTTAATTGAAAATGTACAGCAACATGTGTGAAGTTATCATGGACCCTAATGCTATTCATGCTTATGGCAATGGGTTCAGGAGCTAAACACCAATGTCGAGGTCTGAGGGCCAAGAGAGGGATATACCTAATCCGCATAAGCAGTGTAGATCTGAGCATGATAAGTGATTGACAAAGTCATCTCAATAGAGTGCAAGTTGTAATAAAGTGAGTTGAGAGGGGGGGGGGGGGGAATGAGTTGCAAATATTATCAGTGTTAGGTGTGTAGGATGAGGCTAAGGACTCCGTGTGGCTGGTTTATTTACATGACGAGATGAAGAGAGGAGAGTTTCACAAGTAAAGCAACGTTAATATAGAATTGAGGGACAGTTCAGCAGCACACTGACCATAGATGTACCTGTAGAAAGGGCAGAGGGAGGCATCAGTTATGATGAGAAACGGGGCTATATCAACAATAAGCTTCCAATTGGATTCTGTGAAGGTATTTTGGTGTTGACTTTGACAAACCACTCCAGATGTGGGAGCTCTACTCCATTCCGGAAACAGACTAATGATTTGTACATCACGATCCCTAAACTCAGAATTTGCGTGATAAAAGGGACCCGATTTCCTTTGAAGTATTATTAATAACATAAATTAAGTGTGAATGCAAAGGGAGAATAGACAGATATTTCAACGGTAGTAATATTAGGCGCATTAGAAATATGAACAAACTGTAATGGCCTCGTGGAGGAAATTAGTAAGAGTTTGTGTATTAATATATGCAAATAACAAGGTTAATGCAACCTCACTGGAATGTGTGAAAGTTCAGAGGAATGTGAGGTACTTGAGTCTAGTATGGTCTGCTGCAGTTTCTTGGTGTGTTCAGTTTGAGACTTAAATGAGTAATTGCATTCAAGTTTAGTATCCTGAGTGGTTAAGGGTGGATATTATTGATTGCTCATCTCCTGTTTTAAACCTTGAGCCAGTGGTGGAAAGTCCACATTTCTTTAACAGGAAAGAGTCGATCTATAGGACAACCACTGTTGACTTCTCCATTTGTTGTATTCATTTTATGGATGCCAGATGAATGATGGGCTGAATCAATGCCCAACCAGTAAATGAAATTAGTCCGTACCACAAAATGTATGGGTGATTTTTAGAACATGCCAAATTTGGGACATGCCACTCGCACGCTCTTGCTAATAACGTCACGCAATATTTTAACGTCCACTCTGAAGCAGACTGCACATTTGTATGGTTAATACAGCTGCAGTAATAATCAGGGTAGCCACTGGAGTCGAGCTGTGAAACTCAACAAGTGGCGAACCTGCTTCCCCAAGGTTATGTTGACATGGCCTTTGTTAAATATTGCAAAGGGAGATGTGGTGGCAAATGGGGTATTTTGAAAGGGTAGCAGTTATATTGACTGGAAAGTATCAAGCTCTTGGAAGAGTCATTCACTAGGCTTTGTATCACTCAGAAATTATGTCCTTGCTCCGAGGCTTGCACATTTCACCAATACGTGCTCATTTGTTGGTATTCATTGTATTTTTAAAGGCAAAATAGGAGTATCACAAAGCACGGGTCACATGCTGTAAGGATTGGCGTGGCACTATTAATGATTTCTGACAGGGTGTGATGTAGTGGGAGAAAATGGAATCTGCTGGCCTGTCTATCACCCCCACTCAGTGCAATTCACTCTCACTTTCTTTTTGCTCCTTGGCAATATTTCTTGGGTCGATTAAATCCTGCAAAAATCCAATAGCATTACGTGAGGTTATTTTTAATTGATTTTTTTTACGTTCAGCATGTCTTTTTTATATTATGCTTAGTTTGTATTCTTTGCAAAATTGATTTAGCAAATTTATTATGAAGGTGCCTGATATTACATATATTTTTCTGCACAATTTACTGAATATTTATACGTTTTTGTACAGTATTTTACCAACAATATAAACACAATTTAAAACATATAAACTGCCACTTAATCTCTAGCTGGGAAAATTCCATATCTATTTACCCAGATTTATGATATATTGCTGCTCCTAACTGCTACAGGGCATTTTCCTTGCAAATAATACACAATATGTTCATACACCTGAATGACATACAGTAAACTCAATATTTAATACTTTACTGTATTTTATATTTTTAAAAAGATCCAAATATGAGTACTGCTTTTGTATTATTTTATCCAATATAATGGTATTTTTCTCTACTTAAAGATCACTCACATTTTCATCTACCAGTCATATTTGTATTATCACTCTGCATAATGTGGGCTGAAAGCAGTCCATTTCTAATACTGAATATACTGTTACGATATTGGGAACACTACTTCATAATAATGATAATGTACACTTAGACAACTTCTTAACACTATATACATATCAAGACAGTGGAAAGGAAAACGATATATATAATAAACATTCAATATCGTAGAAACTTGCCACGGTGACCAAGCATGCATAACAGTAACAGACATTAAATACGGTTAAAATTTAAAATAAAACGTTCAAACAAACCCACTACATGCGGCTGATGTATAAATACAATGCAATGAGGGGGAACCTATTTACCATATATCCACAATCACACACAACCACCTTGAATGGTCTAAAACAGTCATACACTCAATCATAGTGTGGACTTCAACAATGAGAGGGAGTCAATAGCACGGATATTGAGAGGAAGGGAATTCCACACTGCAGGGGCAGCTGAGGAGATAGAGCAACTCCCCATGGGGAATAAACAGAGATGAGAGAGGAAAGGTAGGTGGGGTGGAACCATGGAGAATCTTGAAGTCAGCGATGGCAATCTGAAAATTAATGTGAGAGTGGATGGGTGACCAGTGGAGGGAACGAAGTACGGGGGTGATGTTCTCACATGTGTGGGTGTGGGTGAGAATTTGTTGCGGCGACATTTTTAATGGTCTGGATCAGCAAGTTTTGATATGAACGATTTGGGAAGACAATAAAGGATATAATTTCAACAATCTAGCCAAAAAGTGACATATGCATGAATAAGGGTTTCGGCAACAGTCGGCATACCTAAACTGCAAATATGGGACATTAAGGTAGTATGTTCCACAAAATTTTTATATATGGGAATACTTTAAATGCTCAGATGACATGCTCTCTTTACCAGTTTGATATTAGCGTTAAGAAGACAAACATTTGACAGGGAAGCCTTCCTTAGGACAGCTTTCTCCCTGAATAGGAGAACGTACATTTTTACAATATTGAGCTGCAGAAAACTGGGACCTATCCAATCTGATACATCATCCATGTGAGGTATTAGGGCAAACCATGCTATTTGGGTTTGGTGGTTCAAGAATGGTGTAGAGCTGGGTGGCATCAGCATAGCAATTGTGACTCATTTAAATAGGAAATTATGTGTCCAAGTGGTAAGAGATAGCTTTTAGAAAGGCAAAGGAGTCAGAATATAACCTTGTGGAGCACAGTGTATGTATTGGAGGACAACCCTTGTTGCACAGTTATAAAGAATGCACATTCAGATGGACGAGAGAAGAACCAGGATAGCAGTGCACCTGAGATGCCCATGTAGGGTTGGGGACGTTCAAGAAGAATACATTGGTAAATCGTGTCAAACACAGCATAATAACCAAGGAGGGCCTTGATACCTGCGTAAAACTTTGGTTGAAGACCAAAGAGTGTTACAGATTAGGGGACCACAAAGATATGCATGGCCAAGACTGGTAATGAATTGCTGTATGTGACTGCTGCTTAAGCAAATAATAATAATAATGATACATTGTTAACGGTTTGCTAATATGAAATGCATCAATTGTTGATGCAAACTCATGCATGGCAGACCATAGCTTGGACAAAAAAAAACATTTGTGTGTCATAACGATGAGTCACGTCCACATTTCTCCATGCTGTGGACGCAGCAAGTGAGCCTCACACTATTGTTATTTTGCACGCCGCTGCAGCACACTGAAATCGCCGCCACTGTGCCGCATGCAGGAAATAAAAGAAAAATTCTGCGGCAGATCATTTGAGTCTAGCCCTAAAATAATAGTGTTACATCTGGTGTAGTAGTGTGCACCCAAGCACCCCCCCCCCCAACCCCTTCTTTCTCCCCAAGTGATATTTGTCCCCTCCCCACTCCACTGCTATGCTGATAAACAACGCCACCGTTGGCTTTAAATGGCAAAATAATCCAATAGCCGAGACTCGAGCGAGCGCTAGAGATTGTACGAAACCTTGAGTGCAATTATAATTGCAAGAGCTTATCCCCCCCCCTGGAAGATAATGTTATTCCGAAGATTATGACTATGTGATGGCTCCTAATATTGTTTTATTATCCAGACAGTGAATGCACAGTTTTTCTAATAATACAGCACTCTTGTATGTGTGTGCACTTCATAGTGGCTGGTACATTGCTGTAATTCAACCTTTTAGCATGGCAAAACATTGCAAAGGCTGTATGCATCACGACCGTGCAAGAACAATAGAGCGACACGGCATCTCATCGCATGTTGTGTAGGAAAATTACTCCTTTTTTGCGTTGATGAAAAGGTGAAGTCCATTGTGAAATATAAGAGCGAGAGTAAAATTGTACAGTGTATTCGATGTGTTCTTCTCTATCTGGGGGAGAGTTTAGATAAACGCACGCTCGTGGCTCGGTGTGAGCATGGCTTCACACAGCTGCCCACTCGTGAGACGATTTGCGTGGGTGGAGGCGGATAGTGCATAGCTCGTCGCTAGGCACCCACGAAGCTCATTAACCCGTCTCCGTCACATTTTTGCCCATAAATCATATTTCTCATCGGCTTCCCTGCCAAGTGAGTTTAAGTGTCAACTGAAACTCACCTGGGGTTACAGAATGCCATTATGTTGCACTTTGAGTTATAGTCATTGTGACGTTGTTGTTACAAGATGGAAGAAACAACTGCAGACAACACAGCGCAATTCGGATGTGCGTAGCGACTAGAGTCGACCGCATCTCAAGACGCTGTACAGAAGCAGTGCGTCTTCTTGGTTCTTTCGGTAAAGTCATCACGTAGAAGGGAAGTAATAAAATAATAACAATAAAACATAATAAAATTTCGATTTTAAGCTTTCGTGACTGCAGGGATTCATCTTCTTGGTTCTTTCGGTAAAGTCACGTAGAAGGGAAGTAATAAAATAATAACAATAAAACTTAATAAAACAATTCTCACGACGTTTCGGCCACAACGCAAGCAGCCGTCCTCAGGTGAAGAATGAGACAATGCCAAGCTAGGAGCTTATATATAAGCTGCGTTGGAGGTGGAAGAAAGAGCGCCTTAAGGCGCTCTTTCTTCCACCTCCACCTGAGGACGGCTGCTTGCGTTGTGGCCGAAACGTCGTGAGAATTGTTTTATTATGTTTTATTTTTATTATTTTATTACTTCCCTTCTACGTGACTTTACCGAAAGAACCAAGAAGATGAATCCCTGCAGTCACGAAAGCTTTAAATCGAAATAGAAGCAGTGTGCTTGTGTATGTCATGGAGAGAGGGGCATGGAGTCGCCAGCATGGATGGCAGGGAGGAGGAAGTCCCAGACTATTGGGCAGTTCGACATATTCGTGTTTTTGTTAATCATATCCCGGGAAGTGTCAACATTGGGCCATTGTTGATCCAACATTGGCATGTTTACTGGAATATGGTGTGGGTGGGGTGGTGGCCCAGTGGTTAGCACACTGCACAATGAACCCGGTAACCTGCGTTTGCTTTCTGACCACAGCTCACATCAGTGGCTAGTGGCGAGTGTTATCTGAATTGGCCCTTAGTCCGTTCTTCACCAACCAGAACTGACTAAATTGGTGAAGTATGGTCAAACCACACCTCCGATTTGCACGGTTGGCTACGTACGGCCCGAAATAAAAAGTTATACATACAGAAGAGAATAAGTGACCTAGCACTGATTGAAAACGGACTAGGGTCTTTGACAGAAAGCCAGAGGCTGAAGAGGAGAATGTGTGGTAGAGAGTTGAGCAAGGTGGAAGAGGAAAGCTATACATGGGCGAGCGCATGGTTGCAGATGGCGAGTGCAATCTTGGAATTGATTTGGGAGTGGACGGGAATCCAGTGGAGGGTTTTTCAGCAATGGGAAGGTGTGACATTGTATACTGACATGGGTGAAAAGTTCGGCAATGGTATTTATATCACCTGTAGTTTGAAGATGAGGAATTGTGTAATGCTGTAGAGGAGAGAGTTACAATAGTTGAGTCAATCTGTGATGAAGGCATGGATTGTCGAGTTGAGATATATGGCGAGAGAATAAGAGCTTGGGATCAATGACAACTCGCGGGATTCACACACTCTGCGCCAGTGTAATGTCAGAGTTCAGCAGGTGCACACTCAAACCAGAATCTTCTTTGACCTCCTACGCATTTCACAAGTAGTACTAATCACATATCTGCATTTCCCATAAATATGCTAAATTCCTCTTGATATGCAAATTATTTTGTCAAGGCGCTCTTCCCCTTCCAACCTAGCTTAAATATACGCTCCAAGCGTGGTGGTGTTTCATTCAGATGCTGTCTCCCCGGCAGACCTGGTCTTCACCTGAGGACGGCTGCTTGCGTTGTGGCCGAATTATTTGATGATGTTTTATTTTTATTATTTTATTATTTCCCTTCTACATGGCTTTACCGAAAGAACCAAGAGGATGAATCCCTGCAGTCATGAAAGCTTTAAATCGAAATTTAGTGAGAATAATGTAGTAATAGTGAAAAGGAATGAACCTCCTGTAATTGTATCACACGTGCCAGGAGGAAGTAGCGATGTGGATATTGTATCGGACTATTAAAATTTGAGTAGTAAGATGTATAAATTGAGCGTTGTGAAAGAATCAAGACACATCAAGGTTAACCATTTAGTCTTGCTTGCAATTAGTGACGGTCTTACAGATAAAAGGTCCAATTTAATCCAGTTGCAGTTTTCTTTGAGATTCATTGGCAGTTTGATTTACGTTGTCTTCAAAATGTAGTTTTTCGCATAAAGAAAAACTACATTTCACAAAATCATTCTAAATGTGTACATATCGGGCAATTAATATCAACAATTGTGTTTTATTAATTGCAACTGCATGTTTTTTACATGTTTTTCCTCAGCATTAACGCCTATTTTATCTTGAACAAACCCAATCTCTCAGGTTATAGAACATAGTTGATGTTGGTTTCAGAGACAGTCTCTTTGAATGTGTCTATGCAGTATATACAATTACAAGTGGATTTTATTTTTATTGGTGTTTTGTTGGAATGCTTTTTAGAGAAAACAGCACCAACATTTTGGACAACCTGTTATCCCGCATGGAGCAGTATGCAAACAACCTGGAGGAGCTGGTCGAAGAAAGGACACAGGCCTACCTGGAAGAAAAGCGCAAAGCTGAGGCCCTCCTCTATCAGATTCTACCACAGTAAGTGGCAGCATGTCGGGAAGCTTGGACTGACGAAATATCATCTTCTCTCGCATTATCAGGAGAATCAGTTAAAATCTTTCAGGTCACACTACACATGCACGTCATAAATATACGTTTTTTTTGTCTCTTCCCGACAGTGTTCATATACCATATTGCAGGTCAAAGACACTTCGTTTTCTTTGTCTTTATTTGCATTCTTCAACTTTCTAATCCCCCACCAACACCTATTTGCCAGGTTCTTATAATCTTACTCAATTCAAGAAACATCGGCTATTTGTTGCTGGCTGCTTGGCGTTTTGGGACTCTGGGTTTGTGGTCAATAACCATAGTTAACAATGAGTGATATTATTCATACCTACAGAACATATGGAACACCCTGCCATATTAAACCACTCATCCTGCTGAGTTATTCTCTAAAGACTCAACTTTTCCCTGCTTACACTTCCCATGTATGACTCCGGACCTTGTCACATTCATATTTCTAACTTCTTGCATGGTGCACTGAGATCCCTGGATGAATTGTGCCTTATAAATTTCAATTATTAAAAAACCTTTTATTTTTACCATACTGGCCTGAACAGGTGCTGCTGACAGCACTTACCAAAACAGAATCAAACATGCTGCTTCATGAAATCAATTACTGTAAATTTAATTGAACATGTACATCCTCTGAAAGAAAAATATACACAAAAACCTCTTTGGTCAAGAGTCATTGAATTCAAATGTAGTATCTTCCTGGGAAGATTGCATAACGCAACAGACCTGGACTATTTTCTTGTTATTAGTGGTCATAGAATGACTGACAGATGGGAAGAGCAATTATCCGTTATGATTTGTATGACATTTAAGGGATAATTAAATTATATTAAAAATAATAAAGAAAAGTGAACAAGCTATAAGGATTTGAGTGTCAATAACCCAAGCCATAACACAGCACCTCTGCTTAGCATGGTTGGCTATGTACGGTGTGAAATAAGTTCAACATACATACAGTAAATAGTAAATGCTAAGCACCTGGCTTCCCCTATCCCGATAAATGGGACTGTTCACTTGCCAGCGCTTTGTCTCCACAACTACCACCCACATGACATACAGGTCGAGCTTGTGTATTCCACTCTGTCTCCACTAGGACACTGCTATGCAAGGCCAACCAACTGCTCGGATATCGACGATCAACCATCTCCTTTGATGCCAGTCACAAATTCGATAAAACACTTAATGCAGACCTCACATTGTAAATCCACTTTACAACTTCCACCAAAAATCAAAGACTGTTGAGACCACGATTCTGTTAACAACCACTAAATGATCCCGTGGCTCTCTCCTCCGTGTTAGCACTCGATAATATTTCCGATTTCCACTTATTTCCCAAAACAAAACGCAATGTATTGTATTAAATTCCTCATAGGCCAGTTTGTACCACATGGGAAAATCACGTCCCAATGGATAATCGATAATTTTGCCACCACCATTATTGCTCCAAATATGGAAGAGCTCTGGAAATCCCCTTGTCTTGTATTTTATACCCTTAAGACAAGGTAAACTGAACTGCTATTTAAACCATCCTTCTCTGTATTATATTTAAGATAAACGAATCCCCCGCTCACTACAACTTTATGCACTCGTCACATTGCTAAATATTGCACCAGCAGAACCTGTATAAATTTCGAATTATCATTTACCTTAACAAATAAAATGTATTCACAAAATTACTTGTTTTGCCTAATTTTGAATACCATTTGGACATCTCTGCCTGAGTTAAGCTATTAATCACGATTGCCCTCACTAAGCTTCAACAAACTTACTAAATCTCCTCACCTCTTCTCTCGCCATCTGTAACTCGACAGCAGTACTCCAATAATCCACACTGATATGGAGGGTCCATATCGTGGATCCTGTAATCTGCGGTGCACCGCTGAGGTTAGTTCTATCCTGCGAAAAAATAACGCAATGCGGTGTATCATCAATAATTGGAGGAATTATCTGCACAATTCAATTAATTCGCTCAAACTAATCCGCGAAAAATGTGCAGATTACAGGTGAAGCAAAAGCACGTGACTATCGGACAAATTAATCCGCAATAATTTGCGGATTGTAAGGCTATATGTTTTTCTAAGACCCAAATGGCACAAATCTCCCATATGGGTCTATCTTAAAAGATGTTTGTCTTTGATATACGAGTCAGCATTGTGCAGCGTTCGTTTCGACTCAACAAATTATGTCAGGAGAGTTAGTCTGTGCTATCGCAAAACAAAGAGTGCTAATTGATTAAAGAAATATCTTGCCACTATTTTTTCCCTGCAGCTCTGCATTATCCTCGCCCACGTCTATGGATCGTGGTTTGCGGTCCATAGAACATTTCCACGGTGGTGTGCCGCGGATTATGGGAGTTTTCTGATTATTGGAGTCCTGCTATATTTGTCTAATTTTCACCCTGGGACCAATATCCACCACCCCAAATTCGAATATCACATCACACTCTTGCCGTCGCTCACAACAGGGGGGGCATTCCATTAACACTCTTTGGTTATTGTTAAACGATTAAGGACGGTTTGTTAATGAGAACGAGCACGATTTCTATTGCACCATAGCCAAGGTGAAAACCATTCACCTTAAATGCCTTTTCACTGGAAATGTGATTTTAAATGAATGGAAATGCATTTTTTTTCAACAACACGTACTGTATATGCTATGGGTGTAGCGACTTGCCACTTTGCTATCTATATGTATGTATGTTGAACCGTACATAGCCCACCATGATAATCGGAGGTGAATTATTTCTTTTTTTTACATTGCGATGAATGTAGTGACCTCTAGGGGCTAGAGCGGTCATGAAAACCCTTTACATACATGTACAAATTTTAAAGGCTGATTGCTGTATGACAGGTTTAATTTAATATACACCGTGCTGTATGAATGTAGCCATGGCACGGTGCTGACTGGCTGCTGGGTTTGACTTTCATTCACCTTGCAAGGTTCATAAATCAGTTTTCCAGAATTCACATTGAACAGCTCGTCCAAAGACAATTATTTAGCATATCAAATCTAACCAGAGTACTTTATTGAGATAAACAAATGTTTATGTCACTTAGCCTTCAAGACGTTGTTTTATAAGGTTCCTCGTTGAAAATGTTGGTCAAATGCAATTGAGTCTTTGTGAGTGGCTGGAGAAAATGTATAAGAGGGAAATATTCCAAAACTATACAGAAAGTAGAGCAGAAAATGGCTTCGTGTATTACCTGTTATTTATCACCTCTCAGCCACTGAATGATGATGTCACACCAATCCTACCTCCAAAATTCTGGATGATGGGTGTATTTAATCACACCAGCATATTAGTAGCTGCTTGGAAGATAAAGGGAGCTGGAAAAGCGTGGTACTGGTGTTAACAGTTCTAATTTGCGAGCTCAACACTTTTAGTCGCATATCATCCCCACTCCCATGATTCATTGTTGCTGAAGCAAAGGGAGAGTCGGGCAGAGGAGAGGGGGGATAGCTTGAGCTAAGACATCAACAGGAACAGGAAGGGAGTTCCAGACTGCCAGAGGAGGAATGACACAAAGAGTTGTTTGCTGAAGCAGGGAGCACTTGAAGTGGAGTAGAGCGAGATGAGATGGTAGAGGTAGGCAGGGACAAGTCTATGCAGAACCTGGAAGATGGTGAGGGAGATCTTTTAGTTTATCTGGGACTGGAATTAGGAGCCAAATACATCACCTACATTGTTTCAGTGAGCCCATATGCAATCAACAATCCATGTCAGATACTAAAGCCGAAGGTTACATTTGTTGAGATCGGATGGCAATCGGGACAGTCTTGACTAGCATACAATATTTCCATTGAGTTATGAGTCTCTTCATCAGCTTGAAATATCAACGTACATTGCAAGTTTACTTTATTGATAATCTCAGCGAGAGTCAAATTTAATAAGGTCAGTTTATGCATTGGTTGAAGGTCACGGCGTTTAAATATTTCTGCAGCGCAAGCATTTTGCCAAGTGGCATTAATTGAAATCAATTTACAATTTATGTATCATTGGGGTAAAATGGGCAGATTTTTGCGCTGCAGATGGCAAGGAATCTTGAGGCAGGCTGGGAATGCTGCGTTTTTTTGCGCTCAGCACGCATCGTGATGCCAACATGTAACCCAAACCTTCAGACAGAGCTGCCCAATCAGGGTCTGAGCCATGACACAAACTCGTGTGAGTGTATTCGTTTGCCTGGCAGTGAGTGGTGGCAGCTAATTAAGAGATATACATGTGTTCTCTTCTGCAAACATTACAATTTACAGCAATGCTAATGATAATACACCAATCACGATTCATTTTGGCCAATACAATAATTACATCATCATTATAGGTTGCTCAAATGAAAACTAAGTGAAAGATTTGTACCACGTGAAGTAGAGATTGCAAGAAAGTTGGAATGTCCAGCACTGGATTCAATCGAGATGAGCACCATCCACCAATCATTTGGAGCAGCAGCAAATCCAAAACATCTCAATTGCAACCTTTATTATTTTTTATTTATCTTTAATCACTCAATGTTATGATAAAAAATACACACTTAGAACTCGTGCAGAGGAGTGTTAAGGAATGGTCTGTGAAAGGTTATGCCACAGAATTACTTCTGAGATCCCTTCCAGTTCCCTTGTTTATTCACATTAGAGGACAAACCTTTAAACATGCCCTGCTAGAGAGAATTGTTTGTCACAAGGGAGTAAAAACCAATATCTACAATTCTCAGAACTGGAATTGAACCAAATCAAGGGAACTACAAAATTTAATTTGATGCGGTGTTTGTGCAGTCGTTGGTTATTGGGATGAGACCATTAAATCGCTCTCCTGGATAACCCAATTTAATCACAGGTGGCTGCCTGGATTCGAACCTAGGATCTAAAGATTTCAGCTCAGTGCTCTGACCCAGTGACCACTTGGCCACCAGCAGCACAAACATTATTTAATACAGTCCACAAAAGCACATTTAAAATGTATGTCTGTA